TGTGGAGTTGGCAGGTCGCCGATTATTTGTCGCTGCGTTAAATGCTGCTCGGTGCAGCCAACCACATCTGTGTGTGAGTTAGCAGTGAAGCATGGACTATTTGCATGACGGTGAATGTCAGGCAGTGCGTGTTGCTGTTTAATCAAGCCCTGCATGACTAGTCAGAACTGCGGAGGTGGAGCGTGTTGTGTTGGGGCAAAGGGCATTGCAGGTGGCATATCGAACTGACGGGAAGGATTCAGGGGAGGTGCTTTGCTGTATCAGAACACTCTGTTGACCTCTGCAAAGGACGGCGGCCTTCGGAAGTTTTGGCGAGAGCGAGTAGCGCTCGTGGGGTGAGCTGCAAATCGTGAAAGCAGGCAGTGCGTTCTTCAAGCGCGTGTGACAGTGCATGAGTGTTGGAGTACTTACGACGCGTGTGGCATGATGAATTTCGTGTCTTCGCAAGTGTAACACAGAAGCTACCCGGCAAATGACAAGACCGCGCGTTGCAAGTAATTTTTTTGTGACGCTTACGTATGCGGGGATTAAGTCCCAATTAAAGTGAACTGTCGGAAAGCAGTGGGCGCCGGCGTCGTGCTTTATTGGTTGGTATCCCTGGGTGCTTGGATCCATCGAATATTGCAGTGTAAGGGCCTGCCTAGCTAGCTAACTAGCTAGCCAGCTACCTGGCCAGCTGGGTAGCTAGCTAGCTAGCTAGCTGACTAGCTACTTGGCTAGCTTGCTAGAGATGCCAGCCAGCTAGCTAGCTAGCTGGCTAGCAACGTGGCTTGCTAGCTAGAGAACCTAGCTAGCCGCCTAGCTAGCTGTCTAGCTGGCTGGCGGGGGGATGGGATCCAGCTTCAGTATTAATTGCTTTGGTTACGTAATATCCTGCGCTTGCAAGTAGTCCACCGTTTTGAGTTTCTTGTTTCTCTGCTTTGAGGTGTAGGTCTACTGCTGCCTTGAAGAATAAGACAACAATGCATACCGAAAGGCAAGAATGTCTATGGCGGCCGTGCAGTTCATTCTGGTAGAGCCCGAATCTTCGCTGTGACACTTGCCATAGCTGCACGTGCAAAGCATTTTGATTTCCTCTCACTGCACCCTGCGGGCGATGGCATTTAGTACATATTTTCCGAGTTTTTGAATGTAACGTCATGGGTCCAGCGTATTCCGTATTCAGTGGCACGCAAGTGCCACGCTGCACTCTAAAACCAGACCTACAGCTACGTCATCCTGGTTTGCTTCCCGGAGGCACCGATGCTGTTGGAACTATGTATTCCTTTTCATATAGAACCATCCATAATCACTTAACGATTACAGAGTAAGACGGGTTCGATGTGGAGCCGTCTGCTTGGGTGGTGGTGCGTCCAGTGTTGCTTGATGTGGCAAAGTCCGCGTTTTAGTAGGGATGAGCCGTGCAGTTTTCGCATGATGATAAGTTTCTGGAAGTGTCTGCTGGTATTTGATTGACAGACACACAACCAGTCACAGTTGCAGTGGTGCAGTGTGTTGCCTTGAGGGAAACGGCATTACAGGTGGCATGCTGACTTGACAGGAAGGATTGAGGATGTTGCTTGTTAGGCGTATCGAAACAATTTAGTACGCTTGCAAGCAATGGTGCCTGTAGGAGCTTCGGAGGGAGCGAAGGTGACGCAGAGTGTGAAATGCGAGCCGTGTGCGCCGACAGTGAGCTATTAACGCGTGTACAACACTGCGTGAGTACTCGCACAATTGGGCCGAAAGAACTTAGTAGCTGCTGCCAATGGACTGTAACGCTGGCGACCTTTCTTTCGATATGTTGTGTGGAGGTGGTAGAAAGAAACTGTTCAGGTAGGTGGTGGAAAACGTTACGAGCACACTCACAAAACGACTTGCGGGTGGTGGACTGCAGAAACGATTTTGGAGGTGCCTGTTGCAAGTTCACTACGCACATATGCGTGGTTACAAATGGTGCAAGTCATATTTCCGTGAGGTTGGTGATCGCAGCCTACTCATGAGAGCAAGCAAGCGCATCATCATACGTGCAGTGCATATCTTTCACCTCCATCGACTTCTAGTGAAGTTGAGGGGGGCTTCGCAGATGCTTTTCCTCAGCCTCATATAGTTGCTTGCATGTTGTGTTGCGACCAAGGCTGAACGGCAGTGTGTTGTGGAGCTTGAAACATAGCTTGGTTGTTGGGCAGTGGGGTGTAGTGTCTATGCGTGGGAGTAGATCTGCTGCAGTTGCGGCAGGTTTAGTTTTACGTGTATACACTACACCCCACTGTCGCAGTTGGAGCTCAGGACATAGCAAACAATTTTCTGACGCAATTTTGCGCTGCGGGGGGGTCGCTCGATGCAGTGTTTCACGTTCAAATAGTCGTGTCCAATGCGGATATGTTTAGTAGGGAAACTTAAAATGCTCTGGAGTGGGAGGAGCTGGCTGGCGTCACGCGTTGTACGCCTGCTGCGCCGGCAACCCATTGGAGTTCAACAACGAATAGTGCGTAGTGATGAAGCTCATGAGCGCATTACTGTTCATGCGTATTGTTCAGTGAAGACAAAAGAAGTGAAATTCATGGAACCTGACACGGGGTGCACTACGTCTTTGATTTCCGTCTTTGTTTCTTGGGTGGTGCGCATAGGGTGAGGACTGATAAGCGAAGTGATTATGGCGGGCTCCTTGCGGAGGCTTTGCGGGCGCTTTTCGTGAGATTTGCAGCTGAACGTCTCTGTGGATGGTACGATGCTACATAAAGATAAGTTCACATATCCACTGACCGCGCAAATAGCGCAAGGGGGCGGGTGCACCGTTCCTTCTTCTCCCGTTTCGGCTTTGATTGATCGCTCAGACAGTGAGAACGAAAAGGCAGTGCAACTGTGGCGGGCAGCATTTTGTGGGAATTGCATATGGTTTTCTTTGTGAGCGACGTAACATAATGATGCGTAAAAATGGGTGCGCTTGAACTAGGAAGAACTACATGGTCTTGAGGGGCTACGAAAGGCGCTTCAAGTTGTGTGTGTTGAGTGTGCAATATAGGCGAGCAGGTGATCTGCGGATATGGAGTAGAGCAATTGCTGCTTAATATAATTTTGGAGTGGTTGCACCTGGGAGTGCATAGGACATGCAGAGTAGCAAGATCGAGTAAAGTGTGTTTGTTGCTCGACGCAGCTGACGTATTGGGGAATTTCGATTTTCTACTGCATGCGTTTTATCTGTTCAACCTGCTGTGTTCAATCCTGCGCCGTGACATGTTGCTGGCATACGTGCGGTCACCAGGCGAGATGGCCCGGATTTTGAGGGGAACCGCACCGTCGTTGTCTTCGTCACATTATTATGACCCAGACAGTGCGGTGGTTTTAGGCAGACTGGACAAGCAGCTGACCCCTGTTGCGTAGAGGACTGGCAGTATTAGTTTTAACGGCAAGATACGTTGAAGCTGGATATGCTGACATGGTGCTTGCAGCAGTCGCACGTGCAAAGTATTTTGCTTTGGTCTTCTGCAGACTGCGGGTGGGGGCTTGCACAAAGTACACCCTCATTTGGAACCTTCGCATTTTTAACGCGATGAATGCAGCGCGTCCAGTGAATTTTTAGGCACCATGCGGCACTTTAAAGCGGAATATTAGCTGCGTGACCTTGCTTGCTTTGCAGGCGCACGCGTTCCGTTACAACTCAGTTCGTTTTATACTGGAAGGCTTCGAATCGTATGGTGTTCATGCAGAAACGCAGGTTTGATGTGGGCTCGGCGCGTCGTCTGTTTGCGTGTTGGCGCGTCCAACATTGCTTGCTGCCTGTAGCAAAGTGCACCTTTATGTAGATGTGAGCCATTCCTCTGAGCCATTCCTCGTGTGCTCGACGATGGATATCAGCTGCGTGACCTTGCTTGCTTTGCAGGCGCACGCGTTCCGTTACAACTCAGTTCGTTTTATACTGGAAGGCTTCGAATCGTATGATGATTATGCAGAAACGCAGGTTTGATGTGGGCTCGGCGCGTCGTCTGTTTGCGTGTTGGTTCGTGCAACGTTGCTTGCTGCCTGTAGCAAAGTGCGCCTTTATGTAGAGGTGAGCCATTCCTCGTGTGCTCGACGATGGATATCAGCTAGTGCGTGCTGGTGTTGAATCGAATGACACGTGAACAATCCCGCTTGTAGCGGTGCAGTGTGTTGGATTGAAGGAAATGGCATTGCAGGTGGCATGCTGCCGGATTGAGGACGATGCTTCTGAGTTGCTTCGAAACAATTTTGTGAGTTTGCAAACAAGGGTGACTGTAGAAGCTTGGGCAAGCGCGGAGGCGACAAGTGGGATGTGCAACAAGCCGTGTGCGCGGGCAGTGAGTCGTTAACGCGTGTACGAAGGTGCGTGAGTACTGGCAGCACTGGACCGAAGGAGCTTAGTAGCTGCTGGCAATAGACTGTTCCCCTGGCAGCTGTTTTCCCGGGAACTTTGACTGAGGTGAGAATGGTTAGCTATCGGCACTGGAAAACGTTGGGAGAAGGTGTGAAGCACGTGGTTGTGAGTGGTGGACCGCAGGGGTCGCCAGGAAGGGTGTGTGTGGAGCGAGACGAGTAGCCATTGAGGAAGCTTCGGAGAGAGCAAGTATAACCTATTTGCGCTTGACGCGCAAATAAAACATGTTTGGGAATGATAGGAGGTCTAACATGCTAGAGAGGGTGATGAGATGATATTGCCGACGCACAGTCGCAATATGAGACTCATGAGTGTGTGAAGCGTCTCACTTCACTCGAAATCGACGTGGATCTTGCAGATGCATTCGCTACGTTGAAAGAGTAGCTTGCAAGTTGCGTTGTAGCCGGGCGGGCGGGCAGTGAGTTGGGCGAGCGTCACGCAGTGAGATCTAGTGTGCATGCGTGGACGTAGATTAA